TACTTAGGCTGCTTTCAGAGGGAGCTTTATACTGTCGTTATATGCAGTGTACTAAAAATAGCAGTTCTTAAGTTTGGCCACCAGAGGTCAGTAAACCTCTGCTTATTCAATATTTCCCATTTGAAATCTTTTTTTAGAACAAAGAGAGCTATGAATTAATTTACATTCTGCATGGGAAAGTTTATCTCAATCTTTGAAGAAGTAAAAGAAATAACAATTTTCCAAAGAAATCGAAAAAGTCCTTGACCCACAGGCAGAAAAGACTCTTTCTTTCCCACTTGATCCGCCATGTTATGTATAGCTCAAAATGAAAGATTCTGCTTAAATTCTGAGTAATCCTGGATTTAAAGCACAGATTCAACTATCATCATTTCCATTTGCAGGGGGGAAAAGAGAAAGGAAAATTCAAATTAAAGCTTTTAAGAGAATGTAGATTTCTAAGCTAAAATGTAGTTCCTATTATTTGTATACCTAAATTCTCAACTTTTAATTATTTTTAACTTCACAGTGATTTTGAGGTATGTAGGGAGGTATTATTATCTCAGTTTTACAGGCTAAGAAAATAATACACAGCAGTGTAACCAGCCTGAGGTCCAAAATCTGGTGTATAATCCAGAACTCTCAATATATTTACCTTCTCTAAACCCCAATCACAGACTACCTTATATCTTTATTACCCCATGCATGTGCTTATTTATGTCTTTCTCCACAGTGACAATGACATTGTAAGCTCCTTTGGGGCAGGAATCCAGCCCCTTCTCAATCACCCCACGATGACTTGAAAGTTAATCAAGAAACTGAATTTGTTAACTAAATAACTAAACTGAATTTGCCTGGTCTCTGTGTCTTTCCATAAACTCTGTAGGACACACACACACAACGGTGGGCAACAGCTCCAAACTGGAGACATCCCTGGTTGTGTTGTAAGTCCAAACAACATCAGAGAAACCATGTATTCAATTCTAGACATAGCAGGTATTTTTATTCATGAGGGTAGATCTTCAAACTAATTGACTTTGTATCCCAGCAGTAAAAATATATAGGCACACAAACCTAATATACAGATATGCATATTTATAAATTATAAGTATAAATTATAATTCTAAATATATAAGTTATAATAAATATAAATTATACAAATTATAAATATGCATGTATATTAATATTTATTTACATTTTAAAACATACTCAAATACAAAAATAAATATTATGAAACAAAGATGAAATAAAAATATGTTTAGGTGATTGTATATTTTATTTCCTTTATAAGGGCACAAAAATATTTTTGGTGTCTCTAAATATTATTATAATAATTTTATAATACCAATATGATTGAACTGTTACCTCCATGATTATAATTATCTATAAATTACAAATATTTAGGAACATTTCAAAACACACAAACAAGCATAGAATTTTTAAATGACTGAAAGACATGAGAAAATACTTTAAATAATTCCACATCTTTTTAGCATCCTCAAAACAACTTTATGTTCTCACATTCTTTTTTCCCTCAGATTACCGCAATTCAAAGGTTTGAGTTTATCTGGGTCCTTGGTTTTAACAGTTAAAGAAGTAACCCCATAAAAACATGCTTTTGCATCCATTCATATGTTAAATAATGTGCTTAATAATTTTGCATTTTACTATGTAAGATTATATTATCACTTTTTTTATCTCATAATGTGAAAAAAAGTTCACACGAATAGAAACCACCTGCACTACCGTTTCTCACAGATGACTTACGCTTGCACAGAAGTATTATTACCTCATAGTTTCTTTGAAAGAATCTCTTCAAACCGCTGGTCCATTGGGGCAGATTAACGTCCTTAAGTGATATAAAATCACTCCTAACTCCCCTGTAGTGTCGTGTGTCACAACGCACTCAAAGGGAAGGAAGGGGGGAGACAGCCACTTGTGTGTGAGCCTCTTCCTGTGGACACCTACTCTGCTCTAAAGGTACCTCACCGTCATCCAGTTTGTGACCCTAAGAGATGTGAACTGAATCAAGTGACCATCAATCTATACACTGAGTATTCTGAAAGCTTAAATTCCTTCTTACAATTTTAGGAAAACCCGAGGTAGAAAAAGTCACTGTATTTGTTTTCTATTGCTGAATAACAACAGTACCACACACCTAGTGGCTTAAAACAACATGTATTGATTATCTCACACTTTCTGAGATAGGAGTCTGGGCATGGCTTAGCTTAGGGTCCCCTGGTTGGGGTCCTCCAAGGCTGCAACCAAGTTATTGGTCAGGGCTGGGTTCTCATCTGGAGGTTTGGCTGTGGGAGGATCCCCCTCCCCACTCGCATGGTTGTCACCATTCTGGGTCCCTGTGATCGTAGGACTGAGAGCTGCTGGGCTTTGCTGGCTGTTGGCCAGAGGCTGCTCTCAGGTCCTAGGGCCTGCCCAGAGTTTCGTGCCACATGGGTTCCTCAACACGGCTACTTCCTTCCTCACAGCCAGCTAGGGAGAGAGAGAACCCAGCAAGACCAGAGCCACAGATTTATGCAAAGTAATCACATGATCGCTAACTCATAATCACACACCTCCATCACCTTTGCCCCAACATTTAGAAGCAAGTCACAGGTGCCCCCCACACTCAAGAGGAGGCGAAAGACACAAGAGAGTGGATACTGACCAGGAGGTGGGGATCATGGGACCACCTTCAGAGTCTGCCTTGCCACCTCACTATTTACTGTCAAAGGGGGAAAGATGCAAAAATAAATGCTGAAAATACCTAGTTCTTTTAACGAGCTTAAGCGTCATATCTACATCTCCTCAAAAGAGTTACCAACTGAAGCAACTTTCAATTATATACACCTTAAAAGGCTAGCGTTTCACAGTGTTTTCAGAGCGGGGTCTTCTGTTGGTATCTGAGTACAACCCTCTATGTTCTCTGTGCTGTATTTCCTGGAACCCTTGCCAACAGGATTCTGAGTTAAAGCTCATCAATGGGAGGCATTCAGTTAAGGTTTGGCAGGCAGAAGGGAGGCAGAACCATCCTTACCGCCATGCAGGCTGCGCAGATATTGTGACCATGAGGCTTCGCAGCAGCCTCCAAGCATTTTCTTTGTGCTCCCGGCAGAGAAGATCGTCCCAGGTTCTTTTCTGCAATTCCTGCAACCTCCTCACTCTCTGAAAGGTCCTGACACACCTGAGCTTTAGTGTCAGCATTCCTTACCTTCTCTTCTCCTGTCCTTTTTGTAACATCTAATCACCTGAATTCACACCCTTCCTCCTTGAATCTACACAGTAACTTCTGTTTTCCTGACTGAACCCTAACTCTACAAAGGGTTAAAGACCCTTTTGAAGGACCATCATGTTGAATCCTGCTTGACTTCCTCTCTGACCCAGACATAAATATTGTCATCAGTTAAGTGTTTGTCCTGCTAGATCACAGACAGACAGACAGACAGACAGACAGACACACACACACACACACACACACACACAAATATCTGGTAAAATTTTGTATGTTTTTCTAACACATTACTGTATTGTGTTTTGTGAATGTTCTGGTCATCTATTGGTGGTAACAAGCCACACAAAAACTTACTAGTGGGAAACAACTAACATTTATTATTCTCCTAATTCTGTGAGTCAGAAATTAGGGCAGGGCATAGCAGGAATGGCTCCCCTTGCTTCACATGTCTGGGGCCTCAGCCAGGGTGGCTCAAAAGACTAGGGATGGCTGGGACGGCTTGACTGGGCCACATGTGCAGCCCCTTGGTTTTTCTCTACACGTCATCTGCTGGGACTGTGATGTCCAAGATGGCAGCTTCACATACATACATCTGTTGCCTCGGATGAGATGGCTAGAATGGGTAAAATAGTGAGGGCTGGGGCATCTTCCCTGCTCCACACACACCATTTTCATGACAACTGCACTTCTTACACAGCAGATGACTTCTCCCAGGGCAAGCATTATAATAACTAGGTCCAAAAGACCCAGGAGGGAGCTGGATAGCTTCTTACAACGTAACCTCAGAAGTCCCAGAATCACCTGTGCCATTTTCTACTGGTTAAGCAAGTTACTAAGACTATCCCAGATTCAAAGGGAGGGCAGGAAGAGACACAGTGTCTTGCTGGAGGAATGGCCTGTGCACACAGAGGGAAGAACTGATGGCACCACCTTGGATACAAGTTCCCACAGTGCATTCTGTAACTAGGTTCTCACTCAGCACCAAGTCTTGGCAAGCTACGCAAGTTAGTCCATATAGATCTATTTCATTTTTTCCAAGTGCTGCATAACACTGACTAAGACTATATGTAGTTTATTTAGATTTTACAGACATTTACAGACATTTGATGGTTTCCATTTTTTTAATTTTAAAATCATTCTTGAATATACTTATTTTTGTTTATATGCCAGTATTTCTCAGGTTAACACTGAGAGGTGAAATTACACTTTCAGCATTGTAAAGTATAAACATGCAGTAGATACAATCAACTTGTCCCCTAAACTGGCTCATCCAGTCTGTACTTCCCCCATAAATGTCTGACGGTACCACTTCCTTGCAGTCACTTTATACTATCAATTTTTTAAAATATGGGCCAATTTGATAGATGAAAAATGATATCTCTTATTCATTTTTATTGTTCTGATATGATGAGTGCCTAATCACCATTGGGTTTGTTCTTCTACTGTGATTTGCCTGTCCGTTTCTTTAGCCCATTCTTCCATTGTGATTTCTCTTACTTCTAGTTATTTATAGAAAATTATGTCTAATCTGGATTCTCATCCTCCCTCTCTTACCCATTCAGAGAAGGCTGTAATGGAAGTCAGGACCCCGGCTACATGACTGGAGCTCAAAAGAAGAGGAAGCTCAGAGCTCTGAAGCTCAGGGTCTTGAGTCACTGCATCGACTCCATCATTTAGCTGGGAGTTATATTCCAGAATCCCAGATTCTCCAGGCGAAATCCCTTCCTTCAAATTACAGATTATACCTTTGACAGTGTATCTTAAAGTGTGGTTCTCAACCGATGTTCTCAAAATCACCTGGGTGCCTGTGAAAAAGATCCCTGAGCAATGCCCCAGGTCAGCGTTACCAGAAGTTCATGGAGTAGCTCCCAGGAATCTGCATTTTTAACTAGCTACTTACTGCAAGTCACCACTAATGTCTGAAGAGCACTGCTTTAAGCCCAGGTCAGAAAGTTATTCTAAGAGTGGAGGGGAGGGAGAGGTAGCATACTACGCCACCTCCTGGTTTGCTATGGGAAGGAGAAAGACAACCACATTATCCTGGAATCTCAGAGAACACCTAACTCAGGGGTTCTTAAACCTGCTTGGTGTCAGCATTACCTGCAGAGATTCACCATCAGTTAAGTCAGAATCGCTGGACGCTGGGTCCAACAACAGCATTTGTAAAAGGCTATGTTCTATGTCATACACCCTGAGTCAAGAACCACTAGTCTAATTAGAACCCTTCACTTTTCAGAAAAGGCAACTCAGGTCAAATGAGCTTACATCCTTTGTCTAGGGTGTCCCAGACACTAGTGGCCAAGACCTTAGCTGTCCTGACTGCATGACCAGAGCTCTATTATTTAACAGTTCCTCTGGAAGGGTTGATTTCAGTGGGAAAGGATTAATGTTGGAAGTACTTTGAGAGTAAAGTGTTTTCACAATACTGGTGAATGTTCTTTTCTGAAAATCAATTCTGTACGTAGGTCTGCATTTCTATAAGAACAGGAAGGGAAATCTGCCAGACCTCTGACCGCAGCAGCACCACGGCAGGAAGCACGGCTAGCATCACACATGAAGCTCTTCCCATTACCTGCCTGCTCCCCACGTGGCTTTAAACACCAAGCACTGCACATCTACACATGAGGAACCGATCAGGACCTGAATATCTGTATTTTGTTACCACCTCAAACTAGCATGTTCTCAGAGACAGGAAGTAATATAAAATGGGGTCAAGTATTACAGTTTTCATTCATCCTTACTCAAGTTTTAATTTTTCACTTACTCTTTCCCCTGTGTTCTTGTTTATGTCACAAGATACCCTAAAAATGCCCTGCACAGCTGAGGCGGACATGCCTAGGTTTGGAGGGAGGAGTCTAGGTTCTAACCCTTACTGTGCTCTAGTTGTGGCATACTAGAGAATTCTTTTAATGTCCCCATCTTTTTTTATCCTGCAAGATAGATGAGATAATCCACGCTCTGTTTATCTCACAGGATCATAATGAGATAAGAACTGACAAGGCAGTTTACAAACATAAGCATCGTAGACATCTGATCTATAGCATCATGACGTTCTTGTAACAAGGCAGACGTAAGCGTCATGCAAGTCCACTGGAAACCACATCAAAAGGAGCTTCCTGAAATTATATCCCTCAGATGTGTTGTGTTTCACCCCCTAAGTTGCCCCAAAGGCCTGACTGCAGAGAGGCTACACGAAACTAGAAAAGTGAAATTCTCAAAGCAAATACAAATAAAGAGTTAAAAAGTTCTTTTTGTTGTCTGCTAATTCCATGTCTAAATAATAACCACTTCTTTCTTAAATTCTATGCCTTTGTCCCACATTTTAACAGCCTAAATTTTTCTCTAACTCTTCACTAATGATCCCTTTTAGTTTTGTTTCAACTGTCCTTCTCAACACACACACACACACACACACACACACACACACACACACACAAAACATTGTCCAAAAGGAAATGCAGAACGACAAAAAAGTCAATGTCTAAAGCACTGATTTTTAAATGTTTTAACTGGATAACAAAATAGCATTTTTCAAATAGGATGATATCCTACATGTGGCAAGAACTGTTGTGGGTATTTTTCTTGTTTGGGGGGAACAGGAAGGAAGAGTACATATCTTCATTGATTAGGAAAGTAGTCTGAGCTCACAGTAAATGGGAAGAAACCATGTAAAAAAGGCAATACCACTTACCCAGAGATAACCATGTTCAACATGTGCGTTATTTTCTTCCAGTCTCTCTTCTATATAAGTAGACAAATACAATGGCGTATGTCTCAAAATTTAGATGAAATTGTGCCTATTTTTTGGTACTCCTTATTCTGATTTAACATTTTATCACGAATACTGTTTCTATCCTTTTTGCTTGTTTCTATCCTTATTTTTCATATTTTCATCATAATTTTTAATGGTTTTATGTTACTCCATTGTATAGAAAAACCATAGCATAATTTTCTATTCTCTTATAACAATAGAGAATAAATGCATTAGATGCATTAACATAGTAATAACAATTATTTATTGAACATAGGTGATGCCTGTAATTGTGGCAATAACTTTATATACATTTTTCCTTATAATAGATTTTATTTTTTCAGCAATTTTAGGTTTATACCAAAACTGAGAGGAAAGATACAAAGATTTCGCAAATACATGCTGCCTCTGAGCATGCATAGAGACCCACCACTGTCAACTCCTCCAGAGAGGTACCTTTGTTAACAGCTGATGAACCTAAACTGACACGTCATAATCACCCAAAGTCCATAGTCACTCTTGGTGTTGTATATTTCATAAGTTTGGACAAATGTATAAAGACATGTATCCACCATTATAATTTCATACAGAGTAGTTTCACTGCTCTAAAAATCCTCTGTGCTCCACGTACTCATCTCTCCCTTTCCCTAACCCCACAACCAAAGTAGCGCCGCTGGTGTAGTGGTATCATGCAAGATTCCCCCCCTAACCCCACAACCACTGATCTTTTTACTGTCTCTATAGTTTTGCCTTTTTCAGAATGTCATATAGTTGGAATCATACAGTATGAAGCCTCTTCAGATTGACTTCTTTCACTTAATAATAGGCATTTAACTTTCCTCCATGTCTTTTCATGGCTTGATAGCTCATTTCTTCTTGGCACTGAATAATGTCTGGATGTATTGCAGTGTATTGATTCATTCATCTACTGACTGCATCTTGGTTGCTTCCAAGTTTTGTCAATTATGAATAAGCTGCTATAAATATTCACACGTAGCTTTCTGTGTGAACATGTTTCCAGCTTCTCTGGGTAAATAACAAGGCGCACAACTGCTGGATCACATGGTAGGAAACCACCCAGCTGTCTTCCAAAGTGGCCGGACCATTTTGCACTCCCACTAGCAATCAGTGAGACTTTCTGTTGCTCCACATACTTGCCAGCATTTGATGTTCCAAATTTGAGCCATTCTAATAAGTATAAAGTGGTATCTCACTGTTGTTTTAATTTGTATTCTTCCTAAGGATGTTGGGGGTCAAGGATCTTTCACATGCTTATTTGCCGTCTGAATATCTCCTTTGGCGAGGTGTCTGTTAAGATCTTCGGCCCATTTTTTAATTTAGTTGTTTGGTTTCTTATTATTGTGTTTTAAAAGTTCTTTGTATATTTTGAATAACAGCCCTTCATCAGATGTGTCCTTTGCAAGTATTTTTTTTTCCCAGTCTGGCTTTTCTTCTCATTCTCTTGACATTACCTTTCACAGAATGAAAGTTTTTCATTTTAGTGAAGCCCAGCTTATCAAGCATTTCTGTCGCTGATTGTACCTTTGGTGTTGTATCTAAAAAGTTACTGCCAAACCCAAACTCATCTATGTTTTCTCCTAGATTATCTTCTAGGAGTTTTATCATTTTTTTCTCTGATATTCACTGTGAGAACCAGGTCAAATCCCTGAAAGTAAAGCTCACAAACGTTCAGGGTCCCTCTAGTTGGGGGGCTCCCCTGGAGTTTTTAACTCCCAAAATTTTTCACAGAAGAATTTCCAGCAATTCATCAATTATAGTTCAGGTTTTCCCGCCCTGGCCCTGGTCCCCTCAGGATTTTCTGCTTGTGGGGTTCTGCTCCCATAAGTTGTGATTCTCTGCATTCACCTCTCTGTCTCTCCAGTTTTAGAGGCAGTGGTTTGCTCTGTGACCTTGCTTTTCTTACAGCTCTAAGAACTACTGATTTTTTGGCTTGACTGGCTTTTCCTTTGTTGCTAGGACTGAATGGTGACTTCTAAGCTTCTTATATACTTGATCGGACGCAGGAAGTCCTAAACATTCATATATGATCTTTTTATTCCCACAACTAGGTTGAATCATATGAAATATCCATTGTTTGATGAGTTTTGACACACAAAAATGGCAATTTCATATGACTTACCTTCATAGATATTACCATTATATACAAATACAATTTAGAGGCTAGTTAGCTAGTTACCTGCCCACATACCACAGCGTGGGAAAAAGCTACGATGTGAACCCACAGCTGTCTGAAACCAAAGTCTTAACTATTGCTACTTGACAAATTATTAAATAGGGGTTGTTATATTTATTTTAAAAAATCACCTCCCTCTGTTTCTGTGAACATGCCTCCCTTCAATTAAAATAATGTTGCTTTTACTTCTTTGTATTATATAATACCCTGATGATCAACAAGATGCATTCTTTCCTATTCACTTGTCTAACTTACTTTTTAAAAATCTACCCTAATTAAATGCATGAAACTACTTCAAAGACCAGCCATGGAAATATCACAGAGCACTTCACTTTCCGTAGGTTCAAGATGTGCCTTCTTTATTCTTTTATTCTCTGACCTAACATTTCAGACTACCCTCTTCAGGTCAGTTATTTTTACTATAATAATGGTATGGAATTGGGCATACTTCCACGCAGTCTTCATACGTGCAGACAAGACCAGAAAAAGAAAACTCACGTATCAAGCATGTATAATATGCCACTCGCAATGGAAAAAAAAATCACGTTATATTTTATTTTCACTGTTATCTCATGGAGTAAAAAATCTCTACCTCTATCTTATTGATGAGGAAATAGAAAGCTCAATATATTAATTAACTTGTTTTTCAACAGAGAGGGACAGAGCTAGGATTTTAATCCTCATTAAAGACCTGGGCAGGTATTGATTTTGTAAAAAGTTGGACAGAAATATTCATGTTTGGAGGCAGACAGAAACCAAAACATGCATGCTGAGTTTCTATCATCTAAATACATCTTAAATGTCCTGAATTCTTGCTCGGATGCTTCTCTGTCAGCACAGTAAAATGCCTTCTAAATGACTCCACACATTTCTGGCTGGGTTTCCCTATTTACCAGTTCTCTTGCTAGACTGTGTAACTTTAGGCAAGCCACTTAATTCACTGAACCTTGACTTCTTTATCTAAAAGATTAAGTTCACTTAAGTTTTAAGATTCTAAAAGTCTATGTGTAAGACAAAGAAGATTCACTATCCATTAGACAAAAGGAAACAAGCGTAACTACCCTAGTAGTTTGTAAATTACAGAAATTTCTCATGCTAAGAAAAATCAAAGACTGACTGAGCACAACTGACTGCAACATCATCTGACAATAATATAAGGTCAAAGTAAAATAAGATGAAACTTGTAATACAGAATTGGAAAAATATGTAATGTCTCTATAAGGAAACTATTGACTATATCAGCTATTTTTGCTATTGTTGGTGAGTAGTTTGTTCTCACTGTTGTTTTGGGTTTGGGGGGAGAGAAGTGGTTTTTTTTTTGTTTGTTTAAGGCATACTTTGTTCTCATTTGGGGAGGGGGGTAAGTGTTCTGTATCAAAGAAAGAGCACTGACCTTGGAGGTAAATAAATCTAAGTTCTAGAATCAGATTCAGCCTGTTTCTTAGTCTCATGAGAAACCTATTTTGTTTGATGTGCTTTTAAAAACAACAAAAAATTAACTAGAAGGAGCGGAGAAATTCCTAGAAACATACAATCTACCAAGACTGAATCATGAAGAAATAGAACATCTGGATAGACCAGCTCCTAGTAGGGAGATTGAATCAGTAATCAAAAAACCTCCCCACAAACTGAAATCCAGGACCAGATGGCTTCACTGGTAAATTCAACCAAACATTTAAAGAATAATTAGTATCAATCCTTCTCAAACTTTCCCCAAAAATTGAAGAAGAGGGAACACTTCCAAACTCATTTTACATGGCCGGCATTACCCTGATACCAAAGCCAGACAAAGAATCTACAAAAAAAGGAAATTTGTTTCTGATGTTTCCGATGAACTTAGGTACAAAAATCTTCAACACAATATTGACAAAGTGAGCTCAACAGTACAGGATCATACAACATGATCAAGTGGGATTTATTCCTGGGATGTACGGATAATTCAGCCTATACAAATCAACAAATGTGATAAACGTGAAAATCAAGGCTAAAAATCATATATCATCTCAATAGATGAATAAGAAGCATTTGACAAAATTTAACATATATTCAAAAAAAAACTCTCAACAAAATG